GATCAAAAGAGTAATTCTAAGACATTTTTTGGTTTATTTTTCAGATGAGTAAATTTACTTAATACATTACTAGAACATGCAATTCCAAGCCTTTCTACACACATACTCATCTCTCTGCATCGCTTCAGCGATCTCCTCCAAACATTCTGTGCCATTTGAACATGGTTATGATCTCTCATAGAGGGATCATATAAATGCTGGTATCTGGATACTTCAGCAAGAGCAGCTTCGCATCTGTCGTCAATGGTGCGCGCACACTAGCCTTTGTGGAGTTTCAAAAAATCTGAGGTGCACGACGCGCCAAAATGGTACACGGGGCCAACTTGCAGGGGCGGGGACGGCGCTATTGCATCACTTTTGGAGCCCGCACCCTCGCGCCCTGCGCAACGTGTCGAATATAAACCTAGCTTAAGGCTGAGCCCGGCCACCCTATGAAGGAAACTCATTTCGGCCGTTTGTATCCGGGATCTCGTTTTTTCGGTCATGATCCACGCCTCAGGACCATAGATGAGGGTTGGAACGAAGACAGACCAGTAAATCCAGAGCTTTGCCTTTCGACTCAGGTCTTCCTTCACTACATCTGACCGAAGCAACGCCCTCATTACTGAGGACGAGGCCCCAATCCGTCGATCCATCATACGCTCCACCCTACCATCACTCGTGAACAGGACACCCAGATACTTGAACTCCTCCACTTGAGACAGAGACTCTCCCCTGACCGGAGGGAGCATTCAACCCTTTTCCGGTCGAGAACCGTGGCCTCACACTCAGAGGAACTGACTCTCATCCCAGCTGCTTCACACTCGATTGTGAACCTTCCCAGTGCACACTGAAGGTCTTGGACTGAAGACACCAACAGAACCACATCATCTGCATATAGCAGAGACGAGACCCTGTAGTTCCCAAACCAGACACCCTCCTCTCCACGACTGTGCCTTGAGATCCTGTCCTTAAACACTTCAAACAGGATTGGGGACAAGGGACAGCCCTGGAGTCCAGCCTGCACTGAGAACAAGCAAGTAAAATAATTCTGTTGAACCAAAATTCAAATGCAATGACCAATTTTCTTTTTATTACTTTGGCCAGTTTTAGGTTATATTAGCAACCCTTTCTGGGTTTTTCTTTCTTTACCAAAAGGGTACAAATACATTGTATTTGTCTGTATATTGTGGTAAATTTMCAAAGTATTAGTTTTAAACTTTTTATATTTGTAGGATTTCCTAGTCTTGGTTGAAACCATTCAACATTTCTTTAGAAATGCTGTAATTGTATTAAGGTTACAGCAGCAGTAGTATACAGATGAGCAAAAGGTAGAAACTCAAGAAGTTCCTTTGAAAAATATTTTTGTTAACAAACCAGCTAGTTGATGAAAAATTAGGCCCATCTTATTTATATACATATATTCACAACATTTGAGCAGAATGATCCATCTATGCTTCATACCTTCATGAGTTCAACGTGTAAGCTCCTCCCCTGGTTGTCCTGCAGGCTCTCGCCTTTGCCTTGGCTCGAAGAGTCGTCGTCTGATTAAACAGAACAGAAATGATGCATCAACAAAACGGTTTCCCCACAGCAGCTCTCTGCAAGTTCTCTGATAAACCAGTCTTATAAAGAATTTAAAACATTATGACTCTGAGGAAACTGCTAAACTGGGCAGAGTAGACTTTCAGCAGCAACAGAAAAAGCTTATTGGATTTCAATGGGATATCCTGTAGAGCGGTAACAAGATGCAAACAACATAAAACCAGAGGCCTTCATCAACACAAATCAGCTGTGGCAGCAGTTCAAACATGTTTCTAGATGGGACCGTTTCTCAGAGCTTTATCACAGCTCAGACTGAAACTTGTAAGTTTTTTTAGACTGCCATGAAACAGGATTACTTGTGTCTTAGGAGGCTTTGATAATCCATGTACGGGTGTGTTTCTTTGATGTAGGGAGAGAAAATCTGACCTGCGGCACAGTCCATAGACTCGGCTCCATTCCTCTTGTCCTGGCTGGCCTCAGTGCTGCTCTGCAGAGCCTGTTTGAGCGTCACTACCCACTCCTCCATCTCTGCTTCACTATCTGCAGCCAGGAAGTGGCTGTAGCGGTCTTGCATCTTCAACTCAAAGCCATTGCGTCGCATCTTAGGACTCTGAAGAAGTGAAAAATCAGAGKTTTTTTTGGACAAAAATTCAAGACTGTATTCCATTTTCATAGTTTTACCAGTAAAAGGAAAGGAAACATTCACATAAGTAATATTTTGTCACACATTTTTCCAACCACAACATCCCAAGAAACTACAACATCACATAAAACACCCGTCTGGCAGAGAGGAGTTAAACACTGAAAGATAAATATACATCTCATTTAGCCAAACTGGTCTGGGTCAGTTCTGGCCCACATGCCCAGATGCCATTTGCCAGAGGTGGTCCATGCATGTGCCAGCACCCACATACGCAACACAACTGGGCCAGTTGTGGTACTGACAGGTTTGGCCTACATATACCAAAACACAGTTGGGCCAGTTATGGCATGCCATCTTAAAAACACTGCCATCATAGCCGGACCTGGCCCACATCCTTGTACATGTACAATAAGCGTCCAGGTCCAGGCATCCCGTAAAAGAGATCTGTGATCTCAATGGGATTTGTCTGTGGTTAAATAAAGATTAATATTACATCCGACTGAAAAAACACTTGCTGTGCCAGCCGTTGGCCAATAGTGCCAGCTTGACACCAGATCTGGCCCACACCTGTCTGCTATGTGAAAGGCATTCATGTTCTGCAGCTAATAACATATTTGGTTAATGCTACAGACACKCATTGGCCTTGATACCCACACATCATTTAGCTGGTAGTAATGACAAAAAATAAAATGAATAGTGAGGAAAATGTGGGTTTATCACAGTTGGTATATTATACCATATATTATATATTAGTATATATAATAAGCAATAATATCTTGTGTTTTTTTATTTAAACCTAGTTTCTTTGTTGTACAGACAGGTCTAATATGTAAAAATTTTGGAATGAAACTCAAACAGGTTTCACAGTTATATCCATCTTAGGATTTTCTTTACACCAGCATTAGTAGTGGCGTTCCACACAGTTCAGTATTCGGGCCGATGTAATCAGGTTATACTTAAGTCTTGTTATATTTACATGAAGCCCTGTATTTAAAGGGGCAATATCATGTAAAATAAACTTTTTGAGTTTTATATCATGTTACAATGTTATACTCTCATAAAAAAACATGCCCAAAGCCTTGCTCTGACTCATTCATGCATGTTTGAGAAATCCTGCAG